AAAATAAAACATAAACATAAATCAAAATATAGTGATAGTTATCCCAAATGCGTGCCATGTGTCATGTGCCGAGGTGGCACAAACAATTATGGGCATTAAGAGACTATGTACGAATTTCATCCTCATCACACAACCTTTTTTTTTTTTTTTTTTTTTTTTTTTTTTTTTTTTTAATTAACAGATATGTCTCGTTGACTAAGTTGGTTTCTTGTTGGGAATGTTCCATTTAATCTTTAAGGAGTTCGAGTGTGAGTGAGGAAGTATATTCAACCCCCCCATACCGACCCAAGAGGAATGGAAACGATGCACTTGCCATATCCTTGTCAGAACTGTCCGATGAGCCGGCTTGTCTTTAAGTTTCTCTCTGTGTTTTTTTTTTTTTTTTTTTTTGCAAACCACCTATACCTCCGAGCCTCCTTGTAATGCTTCGCAAGAAGTTATGTGCAGTTGAGCGATCTATTGTACAGATGGATATGGCGGTGTTGAAGGTGGTGCATCCTTCTTACCGTTTGCCATGGCGGCAGGCGAGAGGAGGGAAGAGAGGGAAGAGAGAGAGAGAGGGGGATGACAAAGGGAAGAGAAATTGAAGACGTAGGGATTTTTTTATTTTTTTAATTATTATTTTGTACACAGGGAATTGGTGCAGTGGCATGATCTCCTTGTTCTTTGATGCTAAGTAGTTGATTGACACTTTGCCTAAAGCTTTTAAAAGAGCTTTATACCCAAAACGCAAAAATTACCAGTTGGCGTAGCTCTGTTGGTACACCCAAGAACACTTGAAATACAGATATGAGTTTGAGTTCCAATTACGCACCAGATGAGTTAAAAAAACTCTGAATTTACCTCTGGACAGTCTGATCAAATAGATGATATCCCGAGGCTAACGAGCTTAAAAAAAAAAAAAAAAAAAAAAAAAAAAGGCAAATAAAAAACAAGAAGGCGGGGAAGGTAGCTATGCTTGCAGGGGTGACCTGTATAGGCTTAGGAGTAGGGGTAGGTAGATAGTGAAAGGTGAAATTGAGAGAATAATATAGCTTCGTTTTTTTAGTATGATTAAAATTACAAGATAAAAACAAATAAAAATAAAGAGGTTACTTCAGCAGAGTTACAACACCGAGTTATAATTGCATTATGGGCCAAGATACAATTTGCAATTGCACTTGGGGCACCCTACCTAACAAAAAATATGGGTTGTATACATTGTCGGAACTAAGATTGCAAACCGTATCTTGGCCCATACTGCAATTATAACTCATTTTTATGACTCCTGTGAGTTTCCCTATAAATAAAAAATAAAAAATAAATTAAAAAATAATAAATAAATAAATAAATCATGCTAAATAGTTGAATTCAGAGTCGGTAGTGGTGCCGTGGTTAGTTGAAAGCGGGAGTTTCTTATACATGTTCCTGCTTGCAATTAAACACAGCATCACTACCGGTTCTGAATTCAACTACTTAGGATTACAAATGAACTTCAAACAAGCAATCGACAACAAATAGACAAAGTGTCAAAGCATGTTGTAGATTTCATCAAAGCATCTTCATAAATGAACCAACACACACGTGTCGTTAACAGTGGTCAGGTGAAGCTAAAAACAAAACTAACACATGTTAACACGTGATGTTAACAGTGGTCGTGTGGAGCTAAAAAAAAATCAGTGCACCATCCCATAGCCGCGTCATAGCCAATCGGCAAAAGAGGATGACCGAAGTACATATCACTCTATTTATCGAAATGTCAACACTCACGCTTCAATGTTCGACCGTCGAGGCAAACTACACCGCACTCGTTCCACGCGACAGTACTAAGAATTTACTATAATTCTTACTTCTATCGTACAAGTCAAAGCAAAAAACAACAATTCTACTTGGTGGTCCGCTATTCGGATAAAACTGGTCTAAGAATCCTGTCTAAATGCTCAGTTCCTGAGGTGAATGGTTCAAGTCTTCTTAAGCGTATTCAAAGTTTACAACGGGTACCAACCAAGGCCTATTTGTAACGACCGAGATTCGGAGTCAGGCACCGCATACCCACCCAATAAGTAATATTACTGGGTTGTCGTAAAAGGGTTCACCCTGGTCCCAATGAAACCGGAAACTGGGTACCTCAATTCCTAATAACAAAAAAAACAATAATCCATTCAATAGGAAACACTGGTCTACATGTGAAAATCATTGACCAATAGTAAGCAAAACAGTCTCCATATCGGTTTCTTGCCCCGACTAAAATTTCGAAGTCCATTAGCAAACCAATGTGTAAGATAATTCTTCCTCTGAAAGTTCTCATCTCAACAAGATTAAGGTTTCCAACAAATCCATACTTATGCACGAGTTCTGATCAATGCGATGTAGTGCGCTGATTATCAACGCCATTTTCACCTGCTTACAAGTCCAAGAGTCGAAGTCTTGGAAAGTTCGGAGGAGAAGTCCACCCCCTTCCCGCAGTTGTTCCTCATTTTTTAAGGCTAAAACTGTGTTAAAAAAAGGAAACTTCTCACTAATTGAAGGTTGACACCCTATAAAACTTCAATTGTGCGTACCCTCATCAGTCTATTTCAGTGTCAACACCTGATCGTAGCAGACCCTAAATCATTTCATTAGTTGTTCTGCTCATCTTCTGTCACAAGTCTTCGTCTCATTATATGTGGCAAATACAAAAACGACGTGAACGAATCTTAGTCTCGCAAACAAACGTTTCTGACCACCCAAGGAAATGAGAAAATCCTATTCGCTCTTTACACATATTAGGCACGTCAAAGGGGTGCTTGGACTATTTCCCATTGGAATACCGATCACTTGTAGGATCCAAATACCACACGCTCTGGTAAAGCATGACTCTAACTCGAAGTTTAAGAAGGAGACAATATACTTGAACGACAAGAAGGTAAATCCATTTATCTACTGACACTGACTTAACCTAGCTCCCTTACCTCTTTTTTTTATGAACACACCATCGTATCCTTTCTCGAAAAAACACCAAATAACCCATTTAACTGCGGATCTAATAGTCAAATGCAGAAGTCAGTTAAATATGTCCTTAATATCCAAGGACGCACTAATAATACACACATTCTGCATGCACTTCCAAAAACGATTGTAAATGCCCTACAACTTCTCTTTCAAAAAGGATATAAACTTCAAGTTGAAATGGTTTGATTCAACCTCATTCAGGCAAATAATACAACAAACAATTAATACCTTTTGCTACCAGCTTGGATGCTTTGACTGAAGATCCGTTAAACATAGGACAAATAGGACGATACTTCTCTGTGTCATTGTATTTCGATCATGGTAGTGCATATGCACTCACGATTCCACCTTTGCCATTCCACTTTCCATGTCTAGAACTCTCGTGTGTCTCATACTTAGTCTTTGCCAGTGTCAGTAGACGCCCTTCCGTGGTTGCACACAGTCTATATCCATCACTCTAAAGAAAGATTTATACCATTCCTCTTCCATACAGTAGTGGACAGAGAACGAAAGTGTCGCCTGGGTTCCACACGCTTTTAATAAAGCAGTTGTTGATTTTCTTATTTAGCAGAACAAACTCTCCGCTTGTTAGCTTCGAAGTGTTGCTCCAAGTCTGAAAGGCTTCGGTAAACTCAATCCTAAGTTGGACCTCCCTCCGACTACCTTCGCATCTAGGTAAATTCTTCGCATTTAACACAATCCTTGGTGCACAGTGGAGCTCGTCGATCCGGAAATATATGTGGTCGTTCCTCTTAGGATAGGGCATTTTAACACAAGGATATTTGGATGCACAAATTGATGCAAATTGTCAGCGGTTATGGAGAAGGTGACCCACATTAGGGCATTTTTTTCACACAACACGTGCTCTACGCTTTACCATCTCCTTCACTGGAGTCGCAATCTGCATGCCACCCACCTTTCTTCGCACAATTCTTATAATTTCGCTCTTCCTAATGCGTTCATCATACTACACCTTTACAATGATCTTACTGCTCGCATTCACATCAAACTTTTCACGTACTTTCCTGAAAATCATCAGTCTCGCATTGGATCCGCTAAGCTTCGTGGTGAAGGTCTTCACTGCACTATAGTTTCTCACCAATTCTTTAAGGCTAATGTTTAGAAGATTTTTTTGCGGGAGTCTGTTCTTAAATAATTTAATCATATCATCGTGAAGTGCTAACGCCGCAGGCAAAGCTTCGGTAACACGGTGAAGGACAACGGTCACTTTACTTTCAAACAACTTCTTACAACAGCGCAAGGGTTGAGTGCCTTTCCCATGTTTAACCTGAGTTTCCCAAACAAACGTCATATGCTCCATCCGCCAACCCACGTATTACCCTCGTTACAATGCAGAACAATCTCCCCTTTTCTTCTAGTCAGTTTACACAATGCTTCCACCATCTTAACAATGGCGCTAGCCTGCTCATCTAGGCGAATCCCCATGATCTTCCTGACATCTTTCTTGTACTCTACCTTCCTACAACCAGCATTCCCTCTCCATCTCTGTCTTTCCTTACATCCTAGTCTACCCTTGTTGCTCTTCGATACCTTTCTTGTTTTGACTGATTGAATGTTAGGAGCAGGTGACCAATGTCGTATCAGCGCGTTCTTACCACCTCTAACTCGGAGCGATCGTTACTAGTGAACAAAGGCAAAGCAATATATTTGTGAGCACTGACTTTGCCCAACCAATTGTACAAAGTAACAAAGTTGCTAGCGCCGGTAATAACGATATCAAACCAACTCTGATACCAAATTGCAAGGAATATGAGCAAGAGCGATAGACAGAAGTTCAAATTACAAAATCACGAAGTAGCCCAGATAGTCATGTACCAAGCAGAGAGCATAATGCACCAAGATACCATCCAAATAAGAGCAATACAATGAACTCGCACGTCAATGTTGATGCTCTCTGGCCACACCAACGCTGTATCCAATGTTGCTCATACTGTCCGACGCCCAGAATGCAGCCTACACTACTCAGGTTATCTACACCCATCTACGTTTATGCAATTGGATCACATTGAAGTTGAAGACCAATTGTACGTGACGTCATCACCAATGCCAATAGCCAGCATACACCAGGTACGTTCTCTCTCCTCCCCTCATCACACCTTGTCGCTCCTCTGCATGCGCCTCCTACCCGAAGACCACCATCGCCATCACCTGCTACTGTATGCTCGGCCCGGCCATGGCCGCCGTGCGCCCGCAGCCACCGCAACGCCCTCTCATTTCTTGCGCCCGTGTGCGGCCTGGCCTGCCTGCCGAGCGCAGCAGCGTGGCCGCATTGCCTGCTCAGGCCAGAATGCCCCTGCCTGGGCACAACACTTTTCTTTATGGAAAGTGCGGCCCTGTTTCTGGCTGCATGGGCCTGGCTGGGCAGCTTTCCAGTAGCTTCCAGTCATGCCCCAGTGTGTGTGCCAAGGCCTCCCTTTGCTGCTACGGGCCTGGGCCCTTTGCAGTTGGGCACATCCAGGCTTCCCTCTAGGCTCCAAGTGTTTGCCACATTCTCATTGGCTTGCGGTAGATGTGTGATGACAACGCTGCATTCTCATTGGGCCGCGGCCTCTGCATGATGTGTCGGGTTCTCACTGCGTGTGCCCAGGGCGCAACTACTTGAGCATTGGGCTCAACTGTACGTCGCAGCTGCTTCTTCTGGAAAGAGCCAGGAGAGGCTCACGTTGTTCGCAGCCCGTCAGGGTTGCGTTTTCGCCCCCTGAGACATTTCAACGTCATTGAAATTTCGACGTCGGTGGTCATCGGGAGGGTGGGCATTTTAGGTTTTGAGGCCTTACAAGGGCCAGGACCGCGTAGGACCGGTAGCTGCCCGTAGGAGGCCGAGGAGGCCGCGACCTTTTTCGAAATTGAAACGGCGCGGGTCCACTTTTCTCCAATAGCAGGGCACCTCGAGTAGAACACTTACATGCATTCGAATACAATGTGTACCTTTCTGTTGGGATTCGAAAAGTACTACTTTATTTTGGAGGTCAGCGCCTGCCCTTGTGCTCCCCGCCACTGACATGCTGCATGCTGCAGGTCTCTCTCTCTCTCTCTCTCTCTCTCTCACACACACACACACACACACACACACACACACACACAGAGATGCACACACATTCTCCTGTCTATTGATGGGGAGCACCACCTGCTGGAAACTGGTTCCAGCATCCCATGAACATAGTGAATAAAGCACCAACCGGGACCCCACACACACACTCTCTTCGAGTTGTGTATAGCGAACATGACAAAACATACATACAGCATAATCACTGCCTTACCCTTCCTGAAGCACATCAACAAACAAACTACGGGCTGCGCACCCGTACGGTAAGTCAATTCTGTAACCTACTGGCCTGCCGCAACTGTCTGATACCCCTCTTACGAAAAATGTCAAAAATAGGCCTCACGTTGGAAGGGACAAACGGGCTTCTGCCAGACTGCTTCACACCGATGCGTGGGGACTGACATTTTTTCAGACTTGGAGAGCGCGGCCGGTCGAGAGTGTAGTGTGGCGAAAGGCACTCTCGAGCAGAAGCTTTTCCAAACTGGGGAGTGGTGTGGCGAGGTCATTAGGGCGGGCACGTGGCCGCAGGCCAGAACATTTGCATGCCCGAGAAGGGCCTACAGCGAGGGCTCATTCCTCGCACATGCATGTTTCAGGTTTTGTTTTTCATTATTTGTTTTTTATCCCTCCCTGTCCCCTCTTGCTGTCACGCTGTCTTGTGTATGTGGCGGAAATATCGACTGAACGAGTGCGCAACCGTTCCTCCTCCTCCTCCTCCTCCTCCCCTCCATCCTCTTCACGAATGATAACCATCGCCATTTATTATTATACATAGCATCGGATCTGCGCATCATCACCATCCCCACCATCGTTATACCACCATCATCATCACAATCATCATCTCCACCATTACCAAATCATCATCATCACCGATTCACCGTCATCACCATCACCACCACTTCCAACACCACCATTATCATCATTGTCATCATTATCCTAACCATTACCATCCTCATGAAATCATCGTCTAATCATCGTCTAATCATCGTCCAATCATCGTCTAATCATCGTCTAATCATCTTCTAATCATCGCCAAATCATCATCCCATCAACATGACTTGACGATCATCATCATCATCATCATCATCATCATCATCAGCGGCGGCATGGTCATCAGAGATGCTCGGAGGCTGCGTATGTGTACTTGTCCTCAATATCCCGCTTGTGCGTCAATGTGTGAGTGATTACACATTCCGCGCCGGTTCTTCTGATAGTCGGCCTTTGCTATTTTCCTGCGCTGCAGCACACGGCTTGATCTGGCTGCGTGTTTGATGCGAGCGATCTTGTCCAGCTGAGCTTGTTGAACAGATGGGCTCCCTTAACGACATCAAGAAATTGGGGGGACCGGTAGCACAGGTTCATTAGGGCTACTGGTCGTACAGTGTGGAGAACCGAAAGAAACACAAAAATTGAAAATGTGTTGAAATGCCTCTGCGATTTATTTCGTGGTCTAAGAAATTTTTTTTGTTTTTTTTGAACATTTTTCCTGGAAAGATCACGAGCAAATCTAGGGAACCTCTAATTTTCTGACTCTTTGACGCATTCTTTGGAGAGCGAAAAATCGCAGAAGTTGGAGTACTTTTCCCGCTAGCCGACAAATGCCACAGTGACAAAACTGCAACATGCACCGAATCGGCGCGGCCATTGTTTCACGGTCAAAATGATTTTTCAAAATTTTTTTGTGATTTTTCCTGGAAAGATCACGACCTAAACTACCGATGCTCAAATTTTCAGAACTTTCTGTGAATTCTTCTGAGCGCGAAAAATCGCCGAAGTTGTCCCGTTGAAATTTTGCGGGACTACCAGTAGGCCCGCCCTCCCTCGAAACCCGCACGAGCTCACCAACAGGAGGGCTATTTCCTGGTGGCGGAGGCAGTGGTGGTTTAATACGCTTTTGTACTTTTTTAAAACTTCTTTTTCCCTTTAGCGTTGTGCGTCTACTGACACCAGCAGGATTCGATCTCATGATCTGTGTGTTGTGTACTATAACAACAATTGCAGGTGTTTGTTGTAAGCCAGTACTGACGACGACCTATCTGTTGTGTGTGTGTTTTTTTCCCTCAGGAGCAGCAAAATCATCCTTTGGCTGATCGTTAGAACTGCTTCCCTGGAGCCATCCGGACTCGAACTCATGATCTGTCTGTGTTTTTTCTCAGGAGCAGCAAAACAATCATTTTGACGAGTTGCAGAGGAGAGGAAGAGGAGAAGGAGGAGGAGGAGGAGGAGAAGGAGGAGGAGGAGGAGGAGGAGAAGGTGGAATAGGAGGAAGAGGAGGAGGAGGAGAAGGTGGAATAGGAGGAATAGGAGGAGGAGGAGGAGGAGGAGGAGGAGGAGGAGGAGGAATAGTAGTAGTAGTAGTAGGAGGAGGAGGAGGAGGAGGAGGGGGAGGTGGTATACATTCTTCTAAGGACGGGCAGGTTTGCTGAGGCTATACTGCTTTGTAGAGAGGACTCTTTTGAAATCCACTCACAGTTTTAACGACCAACCCAACTCCTGTGCCGTGCAGTGCTTCCCCTTGCATGCAATATGGCCATGACCCCCGATATTGCTAACGCTTCTTCTCCGTTTCTGACCGTTGATGGAGACGTCGGATTGACGGATGAAGAGGGTCGGAAAGTATCGCGCAACATGTTCTATGCTGGATTCCTTGGGCTCCCGTTTCTCTGGCTGGTTAATTGTTACTATTTTTGGCCCGTCCTGCGATACAAGGGAGATTCCATAATCCGTAGATGTGAGTGAGGATTGCGCTTCTTTCACACCGTTCTCCCTCCCTCCCTCCCTCCCTCCCTCCCTCCCTCCCTCCTTCCGTCCCTTTCTCCCTTCCCATCTTCTTCCCTCCTTCCCTCCCTTCCTCTCTCTGCCTCCCTCCTTCCTCCCTCCTTCCCTCCGTTCCTCCCTCCTTCCCTCCGTTCCTCCCTCCTTTCCTCCGTTCCGATCTCCTTCCGCCGTTCCTCCCTCCCTTTCTCTCCATCCTTCGACATGGCTGGAGCGAAAAGGACAACAGTGTATCCAGATAGAAGCAGACGACCAGAGAAGAACAAAAAACGCGAAAGGGAACCCAGCGGGCCTAGCTCATCTGGTACACCCACGAACTGTTGAAATACGGACCTGCGTTCGAATCCAGTAAGAGAAGGAAGGGAGGGGAGAAAGAAGAGAGAAAAAGAAAGGGGAAGAAAGGGGAGAGGGTGGGGGGGGCACGTGGAAGAAATGAGGCACTTGAACTGAGACACTGGAAAGATCAGGAAGGGGAAGGAAAAGTAAAGGCGTACTCACACTAGGACTTTCTTTCGACTCAGCTCTGGACGTGATTGGGGTCAGATGCATACAGATTCGGCCGTGATTACGGTCAGATTCGTTTCAGAAAAGTGCTCGTATGAGTATGTCCTAAGTGTGGAAGGAAGGAGGGAAGGAGGGAAAGGAAGGAATGTAGAGAAGAAAGGAAGGGAGGGGGGGGAAGCGGGGGGGGGGGGGGGGGGGGGGAAGGAAGACGAGGTAAAAAAAGTAGGGAAATGAAAAATTGAAGGTGAAAGGGAGAGGGAAAAGAAAAAAAAAGCAGAGAAAACGAGAGAGGAAAAATAAAAGGATGATGTCTCCAAAAACAAAGAAGGAAAAAAACGATGATAATCAAATATTAATCATGATATATGTATTTAGGGCATTCTTGTCACATATGATCTTTCTCTCGGAACTACCAGAAAAGGACTACGAATCTTATTAAGCAATCATATCACATAATTGTCTGAACACACACACACACACGCACACACACACACACACACACAGAGAGAGAGAGAGAGAGAGAGAGAGAGAGAGAGAGAGAGAAGTTTTCAGGGATGAAGAAGATCTTCATTTCTACCCAAAGTTTTACTGGTGGTGGTCCAGAGAATAAAAAATCATGGTTTCATAAATCGAAGGAAAAGCCCGCCCGTCTACTTCCCCCTCGCCCCTCTCGTTTCCGAAAGCGTGTGCTCTCCACCCTTTGCCTGCTCATTTGTGGTTTTCGCCTTCTGTTTATTGTCCTGTTTTTTCTTTTGTTTTTTGTTTTTTCTGTTTTGTGTTTTGTTTTTCTTTTTTTCGACTTCCCAGTGGACAACGGATTAGATATTTAGACTGATCCGAACAGATACTAACTACACTTTTTTTTTTTTTTTTTTTTTTT